GTACTGCAGTACCAAAAGGCGGAGCTAGACGCGCAGCTGAACGCTATTGGTTTACAGAGATGTGTCATTCGCTTACGCAACAAGCCAGAAAACAAAAAGCCTGCCATGTTTAAAATACACAGCCGACGAGCCGAGGGACTACAGCAGAATTTTATATATACATATAATAACGAGCCATGGTCGATAAGGGCTCAAACAAACCTTGTCGTTGTCTTGATGAACAGCCACAAAGCCATTGGAGTAGAGCAGAATCTACCCTGTGCTTCGTAGTTTTTCACAAGCCAGTCTGAAGCGTGAGCGGTTTCGCTTTCTTGCTTGCGCTCGCCACATGTCTATATCTGAAATAACAAACTTCTTGAGCTGATGATTATAACGTGCACTTGATTATTAACGTGCTTTTGAAAACCGATCCTGTCAGAAACTGACAAACATGAGAGTAAAGCTCGAAAAAAGGAGAAGCCGGGGAAAAAAGAAGCACATTATTTTTCAGCAAACGTGAACAAACTGCCTTGTTTTCATTTTTATCATCATATTTTGGACAAATATGAACTGGGAATGACGGAATGACTCTCTAACAGAGGCTACATGTGCTGCTGAAGATTACAGACACAGATGAAAGGTTTACACTGACTGTAGGCTATATTTTGTGTTGTTTTTGAACCTAAACAAGGACAAAATGTGTGCTGTGTGTAGTTTTTCTGTAGTTGGTAACATATCGGAGACTGTAAGGGTCTGTATGTGTTCATATATGTTCGTTTATTTTATATAATTGCAGACGTTACAGTATAGGCTGTCATTGATTTGCAATTATAATCAAATTCTGTTCAAAGAAAAGTTATTAATGAACATTTATACAGAAGTATTTATGTGTGTAAAGCATCTGTTTTGTGAGAAGTGCTTCTCATATGATATGTGAGCAACCCGTACAGATTTATTGTAGACATTTCCTCGAGCGAGAATGATGCAAGGCAAGGCAAGTTTATTTATATAGCACATTTCATACACAATGGCAATTCAAAGTGCTTTACATAAACAAGAACAAAAGAAACAAGTAAAATAAAAATAAAAACAAATAATAAAAATGCGTAAAAAACAAAACAAAACATAAAAACAGGTAAAATGTGATATAAAAGAATGAAGAAGAAGAGAAAAACATGATAGTGCAATCTGTCGGACGCAGCACAGTGCTCATTCAGTAAAGGCACAGCTAAACAGATGTGTTTTCAGTCTTGATTTGAATGTGCCTAATGTTGGAGCACATCTGATCATTTCTGAAAGCTGATTCCAGCAGTGAGGGGCGTAGTGGCTAAAAGCTGATTCACCCTGCTTTGACTGAATTCTTGGAACTTCTAGTTTATATGATCATAATGATCTGAGTGATCTGTTAGGTTTGTATTCAGTGACCATATCTGTGATGTATTTAGGTCCTAGGCCATTTAGTGATTTATAGACCAGTAATAATACTTTAAAATCTATTCTGAATGTAACTGGCAGCCAGTGTAAAGACCTGAGTACAGGTGTGATGTGCTCTGATTTTCTGGTTCTGGTTAGAATTCTGGCTGCAGCGTTCTGGATGAGCTGCAACTGTCTGACTGTCTTTTTGAGAAGACCAGTGAGGAGTCCATTACAGTAATCCATCCTGCAGCTGATAAAAGCATGAACAAGTTTTTCTAAATCTTCAGTAGAAACAAAGAATCTGATTCTTGCTATGTTTTTGAGATGATAGTATGCTGATTTACTGACTGCTTTGACATGACTATTGAAACTCAGATCTGACTCCAGAGTCACACCAAGATTCTTGACCTTATTTTTTGTCATTTGACCTTTAGTGCCAAGGTACGCATTTACCTTGAGAACCTCATCCCTGTTTCCAAACACAATCATTTCAGTTTTCTCTTTGTTTAACTGAAGAAAGTTTTGGCACATCCAATTGCTCATTTCATCAATGCATTGGCAGAGGGTGTCAATGGGGCTGTAGTCATTAGGCAGTAAGGCTAGGTAGATCTGAGTGTCATCAGCATAGCTGTGGTAGGAGATTTGGTTCTTTCTCATTATTTGGCTTAGTGGGAGCATGTAAAGGTTGAACAGGAGCGATTGAAACTTTCTGTCATACACCACGCCCACCAAAAGGGTACCATTGGTGGTGGAGACGCAAGCCTGATAAAGGTGACCCGTACCGACCCAAACCGTACCGTACTGTACCAGTCAGTGGAAACGAGCCATAATAAGGGTGACCATGCTTTCTGTGTGGTGGCCCCACGGCTCTGGAACTCTCTCTCTGGAACTCTGATCAAGCTTTTAATTAACAGTATTAGTGTTTTTGTATTTGGATTTTTAATTAGTTTTAATATGTTTTAGCATGTTTTTTTTTATTGTCATGTGTTTTATTAGTTGATTTCTCTTATTGTAAAGCACTTTGTGACTCAATGTCTGGGAAAGGTGCTATATTAACAAACATTTACTTATCATTTCCATTCAAAAACATTTGTTATTTTCTTAAATACAATATGTTATAACTGTTTTGTTCATCTCAACCTTGAAGAGATACATAATAAACCAATTTTAATAAGAAAAGGTTGAATAAGAAAATGTAAGTGTTAATATACACAATTAAATATTCAATTTTGGGTAACACTTTACAATAAGGTTTATTAGTTAATGCATTTACTAACATGAACTAATCATGAACAACAGATGTACAGCATTTATTAATCATAATTGAACATTTACTAATGCATTATTAACATACAAGTCCATGCTTGTAAACATTAGTTAATGCACCATGAGTTAACATGAACTAACAATGAACTACTGTATTTTCATTAACTAACGTTAACTAACATGAACAAATACTGTAGTAAATGTATTGTTCATTGTTTGTTCATCTTAGTAAATGCATTAATTAACATTAACTAATGAACCTTATTGTAAAGTGTGACCCAAAATTGTTATGTAAATAAATATACAATAGATACTAATATATATGTTTTTTTAAATGAATAAATATTAAATTATAAATAAAAATAATTCTGGTCAAATATATTATCAGCCTTTTGGAGAGACAATTGCACTTGAAACATTGTCCACTTTTTATTTCATCTAAAGTTATAGGAAATTGGGATGACACGGTGGCTCAGTGGTTCGCCTTATAGCAAGAAGGTCACTGGTTTGAGTCCCTGGTGGCTCAGATGGCATTTCTGTGTGGAGTTTGCATGTCCTCCTTGTGTTGGTGTTTCTCAGCCCATATTTTAGTTGAGTTCATACAATATTGTGGACGTACTACTAGGCTACTGTAGGAATAGTAACTTTAAGTTGCTATTTTGACATGTATTAATTTCAGAAAATTGACTAATGTTGACTTTTATTTATTTATTTTTGCAATATATTTCGATAATGGCGGATTATATTGCAACCTTCTTGCTCCTCACAGCAAGAAGGTCGCTGGTTCGATTAGAGCCTTGGCTGGGTGCGTTGGCATTTCTGTGTGGAGTTTGCATGTTCTCCCCGTGTTCATGTGAGTTTCTTCCGGGTGCTCCGGTTTTCTCCACAATCCAGAGACTTGCGCTATAACTGGGTAAGCTAAATTGGCCGTAATGTTTGTGTGTGAAAGGGAGTGTATTCTCGCAGTGATGGGTTGCGGCTGGAAGGGCATCCGCTGCGTAAAACATATGTTGGATAAGTTGGCGATTCATTTCGCTGTGGCGACCCCTGATTAATAAAGGGATGAGGCTGAAACGACAATGAATGAATGAATATGTTGATAAGATAACTCAATTTGTTGTTTTGAATTTTGGGAAGTGAACGGCCACTAGGTGACGTGATTTACCAAGGAAAGGTTTCTTAAATTCATTATTATTTTTTGGCATTTAACATTCAGTTTGACATATGCTTTGTGCATATCAAGGCTTGATTACATTGTATTTTGGTAAATTAAGTGTAATCTAGAGGCCTTTGCCTTTCATATGAGCCACTTCTGATACCAAATGATCAACTAGAAGTCAAGTTATTATTTGTTGTTCCTAAAACTTGGAAAGGCAACAAGACTTTTGTCAGGCCTCTAGATTTTTTCAATAAATAAATCAACCCGTTCCTGTGTTGTGTCTAGTATTACTTCAACAATTCAAGTAATTTACATGCAGAGAAGCCAAACTATATTTAAGGAATTCTCAAACATGTATAAATGCATTAAAAATGATGATGATAAATGCTGATCATAATAAGTGTTTTTTTTTTCAGAACTAAATAACATGTTTAATGTAATTTTAAGTGAAAATAGGAATAGTTTATATATCTTTATACACACTACCGGTCAAACGTTTAGGGTCAGTTTCTTTAATTATTTAATAATTTAAATGCATTTATTCTGTTCATCATGGCGGCGTTAACGAAATGTAAATTGTTAAATACTTATTTATTAAATGTATTTATTACTTGTAGTATGTATTTTCAAATGAAATTATCACTCCAGTCATTATTGCTTTTTTTTTTTACAATAACCATTAATAATAATAATAATAATAAAATTAATAGTAAGAAGAATAAGAATATGAACAATAAAATTATTATTAATAACAATAATAATAAGTAGAAGAACAATGAAATTGCTAATAATAAAAAAATTAAACAAATAATAATAAGAATGATAAGAATAAGAACAATAAAATTAATAATAATAATATAAATAATAATAAAATGAAAAAATAGGAACCATAAAATTATTCATAATAATAATAATAATAATATTAATAATAATAATAATAACAATAATAATAATAATAATAATAATATTAATAATAATAATAATAATAAAATTAATAATAAAAAGACAAAAATAAGAACCATAAAATTAATAATAATAATAATAATAATAATAATAATAATAATAATAACAATAATTATAAAATGAATAATATTAAGAAAAACAACAACAACAACAATAATAAAAAATAAATAAATATTACAATGATTTCTAAAGGATCATTTGAATGAAGACTGGAGTGATTCCTCTTTAAAATCACTGGAATAAATTATTAAATTAAATTATAAAAGATTTTTGAACAGTTGTTTTATAGTGTAATGAAATTTCCCTCTTTTACAATTTGTACTGTATTTTTGATCAAATAAATGCAGCCTTGGTGAGCAGTAGAAGCTTGTTTTAAAACCTTTAAAAATCCAACTGAACCCAAAGTAAACTTTAGTGGACATAAACATTAAATGGTTAGAAGAGTAAATCAAACAGGAGTGAAGATGAATATGACCGCTAGAGCGCACTCTAGCCATACCACTAAAACGCCACTTGGACAGGCGAAGAAAAAGAAGAAAAGGGAGGAAAAAATCTCGAAACAAAGAACTGCAAAAGTTTTTACGGTTAAAGCAAGTTCACGGAGACTATGCAGACAAAACTGAGCTTTTGTTTATAAAGGCAGCAACTAAACGCATGCGCCTGAGCCTTTCTAAAGCGCAGCAATGATAACGAGGATGATCATTTGTTCAGCGCTTTCCCACTGCGCGTTTACAAACTGACTCATACTGTCAGCGTTATCTCTCATCAGAAAGAGGAAAAGCTGGATCCCCCCTCATATTCCCCAGGGGTCTTTCTCTCTCTCTAACCCCGACCCCATGCTTTAGTCCCGCCCTCAATCCAAGCAACTATCTGCATGTAAAAAAAGCCACAAGTCACGGAAACCCTTAATTGTGACCAAAAATAAGACCGAGCGCACTTATTATTCAAGCTGGAAATAAAGCATGCTTCAGAAGGAAGACAGTCGGAGGAGGAAATGGGATTTACTTTGGAAAACGCAAACCATTCAATCGTTTCTCTAGTGTGTTTTGGGCTGAAACACTTGGGAGTTTTCTCAAACTTTGAGCCCTTTCTGAATGCATGGATGAGGGAGGCAAACATGCGCAAAGGTCTGGATGTATAACTGTTTTACTAAACAATCATCTGTTGTTCGTGACCAATTTTTTTGTATTCCTCTGCGGGAAACACTGCCAAGCAACTTTTGTGGTTAAATGGGGGCATTGTGAGTTGTTTTCAGGGGGGGTAAAGGCGAGCACGGAAAAAGGAGGAGAAGAAAAGTTTGGACTATTTATCAATGAACTAAGAGAATAGACAAGTGGGAGGACAGGCATCGCGATGGCTGAAAGGGAGACTGAGAGAAAAGCGCCTGTATATAGAAGCGTCTCTTTTAAAAAGTTGGAGAGCTGGAGCGCCAAGAAGCGCAGATCATTTGGAGAGGATTTGGATAGGTGCGGTGCCCTTCCCCCAGAGCACAGCGCGCAGCCATCACAGGCGACGCACGCTGTTACTGTATCCAGAAAAGTTTCCAAAATCTCAGCGGCCAGCCTCTCGACCGCAGACCTCAAGAAAGCCTCTCCTGGAATATCTCCATCGGTTCGGCAGCTCTCCGAGAAGTTTAACTCGAGCACAACCGGCACGCAGAGCTCATTAATCAACACTGGAGGCGTTAAAAACACAAAAAGCGCCGAAGATTTGTCTTTGAGCGAGAGCGGCTGCCTATCCGAGGAGTTTTCGGAGTCTGCGACCGAGAAACTCAAGGAGACTGTTAGATATAGCTCGGCTCAAGAGTCGGTGTCAGGGTCGGATTCGGACAGAGGAGATAAACACAGGCTCTGGAAGACTGTGGGAGGCACGAGCACAGGTAAGATACTTTGTTTTTAAATCGTTTGATTTAAGTTTGCTCATCTGTTTAAATTAGTGTATACATTAAACGCTTTGCAGTGAACATTCTGACGGATAGCTTTGCATGTGATAGCCACTGGTATTAGCTTAATTTATTGAAGTAAAGTTGGTTTTATAATCCCACATTCGTTCAGTGACAACTTGTGACATGGTCTCTATATTGTTTACCATGTTACTTTGAATATTCGTTGGAAAATAGCTTGCACGTATCATTCAAAACAACATTAGCTCTATTTAATTGAATGTGAACAATCTTGTTGATAGTCTTTGGCTGCTAATATGATTTCATTTCAAGAATTCTTGTCTGAAAATAAAATATTAAGGACGAAGACTCGATGTGCAAATGTAAACCAACCTTACCCCTAATTTAAATACACTTATTATACACATTTTTTTTTAATCAAATGAATTGTTAACCACACAATGTGTTTTTGTCTTAGGGAGCCCAACATGTAATTCTCGTCGTTGCTATCATCCATCATATGGAGAGACTATTCATGTTGATGCGAACTGGCCTAGCGTTACTAAAATTAGAGAACTATTTGGGGATGGACGCAGAAAGCAGCATAGATCGACTTCAGATGCGGATGACTTGAAATCAGCCTGTCAACAGCTACAGCATTTCGACGCTAAAGAGGGCCTCTCAACTCCAGACAAAAGTGACAAACCATTCCCCCACCAGCCGAGGGGAGCCTGGCAAGATACAAACAGCTCTCATTATGACAACAGTGCATTGTATGAGGACTATTCGATCTCTGACTTCCAAACTTTAAGTGCTGAAAGCCATTCCTGTGAGATTTTTAATTGCGGTTCAACTCCTGCTGGTAGAACGACCGCTTTGCCCCTCAGGTCTCACCGTTGGCAGGAGCAGAGACAGAGGGCAGAGCAGCCACAGCCACTGGATAGCTCACATTCCTTGCATAACTCCTCTAAACCACAGACAGGGCCCTCCGTGGAGCTAGCCATTGCTCTGAGCTCAGGAGAAGAGGAGCTAAGCGGACGGACAGGCGGAAAGTTCCCACAAAACAAGCATGGCACCAGGGCTAAGTTGAGAGGAAGGTCTTCAGGCAGTGAGGAGGACAGCCCTGCTGCGCTAGCTCACAACAACCGTGACGTTAGACGCCGCTCACTAAGGAAGAAGAAGAAAAGCAGTTGCAGCAGAGACAATGAAGAGTCCGATGATAGTGACGAGCAGCCTGTAATGATGGAGCCGTGTGATTCTCAGCCAGTGGGCCGCAGGATTGAGGGTTTCCGTTCTAGGGGCTGTTATACAGGCCTGTCATGGGCACGAGACAACCCATCACAGCGGTCCCACATGACTAAGGAAAACTTTAGGCACATATATAGAAACTTCGAGGGGTCAGTTGGAGCTAGTCCTGTTCCTCAGGTGTCACGGGTTTCAAAAGTCACCATACCTTCATTTACATCTAGTCCATTAGGTTCTAGAAGTAGCAGCAGGTATTCTAGCACAGAGACATTAAAAGAAGAGGATAACATTAACAGCTTTGGCAGAGCCTCATCCGCTGTTTTGAGTAAAACATACCATGGCAATGCTACTATGTACCGCTCACCTAGTTTCGGTCATGGAGATAACTTTTCCCGTGGCCCAGTTCGTGTTCGCCCTAAGATTGTGCCCAGCCTTAACCCAGCAGACTGTAAAACGGGTAGTTCAGAAAACCGAGTTTTCAGCAACTCTTTAAATAATGAAAAAGACAGAAATAGGATTTCCCTGTCCAACCCTGACATTGCTTCGGAAACACTGTCACTTCTTAGCTACCTTAAGACTGATCTTTCAGAGTTAAGAATGAGGAAAAAGGGACAAGACGATGAGGATAGTCTGAACTCTGATCAAGGCACATCTGTGTACAGAATGGGCTCCAGGACAAATCGACTTCACCCTGGGCGTCCTTCCTTGAAGGATCTCACTGCCACTTTAAGAAGGGCAAATTCTTTTACTTACTCTGAGAAGCCAATAGTACAGCGATATTACGGTAGTGGACCAGGCTTAAGGAGTTCCTCTGAACAAAGACTCGACTCTGAAGGCAGTGGTGAGCAGGTGATAATTGCTGACAGAGAAGTGGAAAGCGATGACTGCAGAAGTTCTTATGGATACGATGAGCCAATGCCAACACCTTTACAAGACCGTTATTTGCAGGAAGCCAGACAGGTAATAAGAGACATTTGTCAAATGGGTGAAAGTAAGGATGATGATTATGTGGAGGACAATTTTAAAACAAAACCCAGTGACGCTAAAATAAATAATGAAGAAGGCGATGAGACGAAGCAGGAGGTAAGGAGACTTGAATACCCTGTTTTTACTGGGTGCAAGGAAGAGGAGGCTGATGGAAAAAGTGGAAAATGTTTACAGAAGGGAAATTCAGAGGAGAACATGTTCTGTGATAAGTCATTGGATGAACTCTCTGGTCATGAATCTAGTCTGACAGATGAAGGAATTGTCACAGAGCCAGAGGTTGGCTCATATGGGGGGCTGTCCTGCAGTAAAGACGTGCTGGGTCAGACCCTCGCCGTTTGGAATCAGTCAGGGTTGTACGATGAGCAATTGCCTGATACAACACCAGAGGAATCTCTTTCATCTCAGATTCCGTCTGTTAGGACGGAGTGTGAGGGAGTAGCCATAGGAGGAGACATTAGCAGCAGTAAAAATGTAAACCAGGGGGCCTTAGAGGCTCCAAATACTCCTAGTGCCATTCGCAGACGAAGGAAATTTTCCTCAGCTGGAAACAACGGCTCAGACTCCAGCAATGGCAGTAATGGGGAGTCGAACGGTGAATCTGCGTACCGCTCCTTGAGTGATCCCATGCCTCATAGACACCGTTCAGTCACAGAGGATGGAAAGAGCTTCTCGATGGACAGCAACCTGCTTGGCTCGCTTTCTCTAAACTCCAAGGTGGGTGGTATGGAGTCTTCTGCAGCAGATCTTTCTGAATACACAGGCAGCGCTGCCAGTGATCTTTCCGTGTGTAGCGACAGTCTGAAAGACTACAGTACTGTGATTCAGAGCATTGTATGCGAGCCTGGTGCAATGGACAATCTTATTGACGAAAAAGCGAATGGCAAGGCTGTGAAGAAGAAGAGCTTTAGTGACCCTAGCCGACGTGGAGAAGAAGTGGACACAGTCCTGGAATTTCAAAAGCATCCAAACGAGCCAATTAATGAGCAAGAACAATCCATACCACCTTCTAGCAGCGAGCCCATCTTATCAGAGCAAAGAGATGAGTTGTGGGCGCTAAATAGTGAACAACGACAGCATTACTGTTCACCCAGAAGGTCTCGTTCACAGTCTGAGCATGTTTTGGCATCCCACCTGGGTCACAATGGAGAAACAAAAGCAGCAGGTGAGCCCTCCTTTCCTTTTGACCCTAAGCTAGCTCATGTGTTGTCTCCTCGCATCAGTCGCAGAAGCCCCAAGAAACGCACAAATCGCTTTACACATCAGGTGTCTTGTGATGATGCGGATCACTTAGATGAACAAAGTGAAGAGCAATCCAATGCATCCTCCCTCCCCCAGCTTCCATCCTCAAAACCCAAACCCAAGCATGTACGTCACGCTAGTGAACCTGCCACATTTGTGCCCATCATTCCTTCACATGGCTCACAGGACCTCCCCAGGTCATCCCATGTTACAGAGTCCTCTCCAACCAACAAAATAGCTCTAGGGGAGGACACTCCATCATTGGAGGATGTCACTGAGCAATACATCTTGGCTGTAAATTCCCCAGAGACCCCGACAGAGACCCCTGCGGCCACTAGTGGGGTGATTGTGGAGGGAACTACTTCGACACCTTCAGCTCCAGCCACCGCTTCTGAGACGAGACTAGAGAGGAAGTCCAGCGAGGAACTTTCCACTGCCCCTCTGAAGGCCAAACCAAGAGTGGTGAGTGACGTTCTGTTCGCTAATTTGGTTGTTTATTCGCTTGTTTATGTTAAGGTATGGCTTATCTGCTTGCAAATGTATGTCGATAAGTAATTGCTTGCTGCAAAGGTTTGCTTCAAAGCAAGTGAAGGTGTTGTTTGAATAGTTTTCATTTCGAGATTCATCAACACTTGTTTGCTGGATTGAAGTCTAAAACTGATATATCATTCTGCAGAAAACTTGGATGAGAGCTTCTAGGCCTTGACATGGTGTAAAGCATTTGTTTGTGTTTCACGTGTTGCCTCAGGTTGCAGTTCGATTTACGGCTCCCGACTTTGTTTTTGTCTCTGATGGAGAGAGCAGAATTGTGTTTCTTAGAAATATGAAGGACATTTACTTTGCCCAAAGCAGGTTCCTCTGCAGTCATGTTGTTCTTCTTTTCCTTAAACTACCTTCCATTTGGTCCAGTGCCTGTAGAGTGTTTCTCCCTCTGTCTGCCGCAAATGTTCCTTTGTTTACTTGCCACTATGAAAAGTCTGAATATTCTGGCATTCTTAACTGGCATATTTTGAAGGGAACGCTTTATCTACTTGTGTATTTATATTATGCTTTTTCCATTGTATAGAAAGTTTGAAAAGCCTCATTTAAACTTCAAAACGGCTTGTCTAGCCAACTTGACCCCAGGAAGAAATACCTTTCAAATACTTTTTATTTAAGAGTGTTGTGCTTGGTTGTGTATGTCCAGAGGCCATGATGTTTTCCAAAGTCTTGCATACCCTCAGTGATGGATTAGTTCTCTGTATGGCTTTAGTAAGCCCACTGTAGCACGGTTGGACTGTTTCAGACACAAAGTTTGGTCATAGTTTCCTTCAGTCCACCTTTTATGGTGCTGTATTTTCCTGAGATTTCGTCCATGCCAGCTTGTCCTTTCAGTATTGTGGTGTACTTAGGGCTCTGTTTGGAGACGCCTGATATTGGCTGATTATATAAACGCTGCAGATCAGTTTGAGTAACAGTCTGTTGGCATCTACGGTTTCCAAGTTCCTGCTTTTTCTTTTCGTCTTGTTCTTATTTTTCTCACCAGGGTTATTACGAAGTGGACAGCGGGGATATATTTGTATGGCCTTGTCATTCAGCTCGGATTATGCAGTCTAATTTGAGTCTATCATTGACAAAGTCTTGGAGACTTGCACACTTTCACTCTATTAACACACAAACACACACACACACACACACACACACACACACATTCGTATTTTGGCTAATGAAAACACAACATGTAAATAGAGCTAAACGTTCCTCCTCTTAAGCTGTTAGCTCCAGGCACATTTCCAGAGGCTAATGCCTTCTTTATGACAAGAGTAGAACTGTTTGATGTTTCGTTCATTAGGTTTTCCCTACTTACAACATCCAAGAGATCTTGTCTACAGCACATTCTGTTTGTATATGAATATTTTGACCTTAGAAAGTATTTGTACTCTTAAGCCACAGTTAAATATGTAGGATCGTCAGTGTATTATATAACCAAACATCAAACCAACTGTGCTTATCTTTCCTTTTAACACATGCCACAAAGTTTGGCATGTAGTTATCTGGAGAGATGGGAAGTAACGACGTACAAATACTTAATTGCTGTACTTCAGTAGATATTTCTGGTATCAGTACTTTACTCCACTATTTATTTTTTGATAACTTTTTACTTTTACTCCTCACATTTTTACACAAATATCTGTACTTTCTACTTCTTACATTTTTTTTAAACCACGGCCGTTACGTTTGTTTTCATGTGTTTGGTGGCGTGATCTATATTATAGTCATTATTGACTATATCTTGTCATTGTGCAATATGAACGCATTTTTTATGCAATCAATCTATTATTTGTCATGCGCGCCTGCGTGCTGCACTGCAAGGCCTTTTCAAGGCTATCATACACCGGATGTGGGCTAGTTTATGAAGATTACTATGAGAAAGACTAGGATGATTATCCAGATGTGACAGAGTGAGTCGGCGAATTTAACATGACTGATGCTGCCCTTTTTACACTGTAATAAGATACCTTTTGCTCATTCGGATCAAAGGTAAACAAGGAAGACACATTTAGTTTAAAAACATAGCATTTAAATGCTTAAGCCTTTTGTTCACTTCCGATTATACTGCGAAAATCTGATACCGCGAAAAACATATTTGGACATTTAGTACAAAAAAAAAACGTAAAAAAAGAGTATGCATTGCGATTTATTTCCTTTATTTCTGATCATTTCATATTTCCTAATACAGAATTTATGCTGTTTTTCATTTTTTTGATTGATTTTTTTTTATTGACTATATGATTTTACATATATCGTTGTCTTCAATTATTAATATATAACCAAATATTTTACAACAACAAAATTAACTATACTGGACAATTTATGAATAAAAATATAATGCAAAAGACCCTGAATTTATCACGTGAAGAAAAGATCATGTGCATGTTTTGGAGGTTGTAGTCACGCCTGTGTACAGTATGTTGCTTTTAGCATAGAATAAAGCCTGGTTTATACTTCTGCGTCAAGTGATCGGAGTGACCCACGGCGCATGCAACGCGCGTGGCTGTCCATTTATACTTCTGCGCGCTGATTCTGTTGCTCTGCAATAACACTTCTGAAACACTAGTTGGCAGTAAGGTGTTCACGTTCCTCTGTCAAGTGTTTTCGCTGGTGTTTTGTTTGTTCTGAATGCTTCCTTAATGTACAAGGGGCTCAAACTCACTCATTTTGAGGCAGGAACCGGCGGACATGCAACAACTTTAACCATGAGGTAAACACAAAACAAAACTTTCCATCCGGAGCTTCTTCACGGGACACCACACTTGTAAACAATCGCTCCATCGGGCTCGCACGGCTCCCACTCAGACTCGTCAGCAATACCAAGAGCTATGCGTCAATGCCTAGGCTGCGCCATAAAATTACCAATTACCCGCTGACTGCCTGGACCCACTGTCTCGAGTGCATGACAATGTGTGTGCGTCTCTGTGTGTGTAGTGTGTGTGTGTGTGTGGTCACATGATGTGATGGCTGCTCAGAAATGCAAAACGCCAGTGTGGATGTGGATCGTTATCGTTATAAAATGCCATTTAAAAACTAAAACCTATTAATGTAAACAGGGCCTGAGTGTATTTTTCGCAAGCGGATTTGCAACAGGGGCGGGGTGGAGGATCGCGATGCCGGTGTTGTCTGTTGGCCCAAGCCTAATACGTACATAGCAGAGCTTGCAAACTGTGTTTTTTTTTTTTTTCGAAAACACGAACGTTGTCAACATAACTCACTGGAAATCCAAAATACTTTCACACCGGCGACTTCATTGAAAGAAGAGAGGGTTTAAGCTTTGTCGACGGGTCACCTATCTCGTCTGCAGTTCAACAAGCTCTTCAACAAGTGTGTCTTTTTCCCGCTTGGCAAGCCAAGCTGACGTGACATGGGGGCGTGGCAGCATCGACGATTCCATTTTTTGATTCGATAATCGAAATTGAGCATAAATTTTGATTAAAATCGTGACACCCTTAACACTTATACACTAATGCCAATTCAGTTACCTAAAATTCACCTATACCAATTGTCTTTGGACTCTGCTTAAAGCGGGTACTTTTAACTTTTTTTACTTTCGTACATTTTTCAGGCCGTACTTCTTTACTTTTACTTAAAGAGCCATGAAACCCCCTCGTTTCAGCAGGGTGTTTTCACACCTCTCTTTGGAAAAAGTCAGAAAAGTGTGCGTGTCCAGCTCTGTTTAGTGGGCAGTGTCGGAGGAAGAAAAGAGGCTTGGTGTGGGAGTGTCTATTTGGGCGCGCTGAATTTCAGAGTCAAAACACACACACACACACACAGGGGAAAAAGTGACTGTGTTTACATGGACATCTGTAGTCGAATTATTTGCCAAATTATTAAATGGTGGACTTTAACTGCAGTTTGGCTCTTTCATTCAGGGAATTCATTCATGTCCCTCACGACAAACGAGATATTTGATTCAAGGAGCTGCTCTAAGCGTGTATTTTTCATGCAATGTTTGATACTGCACGGCGAATGAGAGAAAAAAAAACTCAGCATTTCCCGTAAACTTAGATGCACACAGCAGGTAGCGTCAGAAAGCGTAAAGTGTATATAAATAAATAAATAAATAAATAAATATATTTATATTATTTATTATTATATTATATATTATTATTTATAATATATATATTATAAATATATTTTATAAATAAAGTGTGTTATTCCGGTCACAAAATGCGGTGAAAATCCTACACGAGATTAAAGTTTAGTTGTGGTGCTAACATGTTTGCACTCGGTGCAATAGTTTGTTCGATACGAACAAACTGAATAAACAAAGAGCACTGGTCGCTCACTTACCACATCTGTAGAGACAGGACAATCACCAGTAACTAGAGCTGCGTCTTTATTAAGAGGAGACTAAAGCGAATTTGTATCTCAGCGTATGCAGATGAGAACAGCTCTCAGGTAAACAATAATCCTCCTTAGACACGCAAGTTATTGTTGTCGCGCGTCGCGTACGCTGTTAATCCACACGTGACTCCAGCTGCGCTCTCACAGAGAGAAAATGAAAACAAAACTTAACTGCAGCAAACTATAAAAGCAACACTTCACGCTTGTTTTGCCAAAACAAAGTGGCGTCTCTGTCGTCTAAACACTGTGACAGTAATGAATATTAATGAAGTTGCACAATAGAGCGCGCTGATTGGTTTGAACCAAGCCTTACTCATGCATTAATGCAGCACACTGTAAGACGTAATAAGACTCACTCTGGCACAGACGTCCAGTCTGCACGCTGGAATACACGCTATTATGTCATGGCCGTGACGCAGCTTCAAAAATTCGTTTCAAACAGGAAGTACGAATTTGCTTGAAATAACGCAAAAACAACCAATTTACACTTTTTAGTGAAATATAGGTGTCCTAATAGTGTTTTTAGCAGTGTGGGGCACATATACGACTGTCAACAGCTCAAAAAAGTGTTTTGGTGTTTT